GCCCTCTCTAATGTCAGAGTTTTCACTTGCACATCACTGCCCAGAATAAGACTACATTCCCCAGCCTCCTTTGTAGGAAGGTGGGGCCATGTGACTAAGCTCTGTCCAATGGGATGTGAGCAGAAGTTATAAATGCAGCCTCTGGGTGATCCCCTTGGGCGTGCATGTAGTGGCAGTGTCAGACCATGTGGTCAAGGGCAGCAAGTGTCCGCCTTCTCCTTGCTGGAATCACTGATCTTGCCCCCTGGCCTTACTGTCCGTGCCACCTGCCTGCTGGGGCCAGTCTGCCTCCCTCTCATTCCTGCCCTCGCCATACCAGACCCTGGATATCTTCCCCAGGGACAGCACCTCCCCCATCCGCACCTCCCGACCTGACATTGGCAGCCTGCCCATTAAGCCAATGGAGAGTGAGGAGGGCCCTTCGAGGGGGGCTGCTTCATCCTGCCTGCAAATTCTGTTTTCCTTTAAAACATACCAAGAAGGGGGTGGACGCTGGAGGCAAGACGTACCCAAGACACATCTTGTTAATATGCTGCCATTTCAGCCAAGAGAATGGGGGATGCTGCCATGCTTTTTAGGGTCACCAAATATCATGGATATGACAACCAATCAGGGGCATGATATAATGGTGGTTAACACCCTGCCATGTGAGAGTCAGCTGCCCCTGCTTTTTCCACTTTAGATCCTTTTCCTTCTAGCACTGTGTCCACTTATAATGCCACTGAGGGTGGTTCCCACAGCTCTTGGGCAGCAGGTGCATGAGTGTCAATCAAGCCTGCGTCTGTGCCCCTCCGCCCAGCTGATATTTCAATGACGGTCTCTCGGCTCTGGATTTTACTGCAGAATAGGCGAGTTGGCTGGGAGCAGGAGATATGGTCGTCGATATCTGTGCTCCAGCTCCAGCCATCGGCTGTGATTCAGGGCCGGGCTGCTCACCGCCATCACAGTCTTTGCCGTATCTCTGAATTGCCGTACTATTATTGAATTATTGTGAAATCAGGAGTGGGCAAGCTAGTGATATTTTTCTAATTCAGAGTAAAATACATATCTAATGATTTAAACAATATGCCCCCCTACCAGATACCCCCACCCCCACTCCGCAAAGCCCCAGTGGCACTGGTGGCCCTCTGGTGGAGAGACCCATTTACTGCGCAAGTACAGAGTGCACGCCCTGTGCTCTCTCATCCGTCCCCCATCATCAGCAAAGCCTGGAAGGCAGGGGCTTTTCGGCCACCCGCTGAACAGATGAGGAAACCGAGACTCAAGGAGATGAAGCGATTCGCCCAAATCACACGGCCTGAAGGTGACAGCACCAGGACTCAAAGGCAGATCCAACTGATCGGAAGGAGCTTGCCCTAAACTCAGCACACACATCCCGAATGGTGTGAACCTGGCACCTACTTCACTTCTGACTAGTCCTTACACCTCACACTCTCCACGAGTGCTTTCACCTGGGAGTGTGATCTAACTCAGATTCCAGCTTCCGCCCTTGCCCACTCCGGTCTGTTGTCCACCCGGCAGCCAGAGGGAGCCTCTGATCCGTAAATGAGATCACATCATTGCTCTGCTCAAAACCCTGCCACGGCTTCTTGTCACTCTCAGATTATTATCCAAAGTTAACAACGGCGCAAAGGGCCCATATGACCCGCCCCAACCCCCACTGTCCACCACAATCCTTCCTGCTCCTGCTCCACCCGTCCTGTTCGTGGAACCCACCTCAGGGCCTTTGCACGGCTATCCTGTCAGCCTGGCACACTCTTCGCCCAGATACCCACATGGCCCACTCCCTCGCCTCCTTCACATCTCTACTCAGATGTCAGAGAAGCCTTACCTGGTTACACCGAGCAAAACAGCAGCCTGTGACGGTCTCCTCCCTGCCTCTGCTGGTCCCCCTTGCGGCCCTTCATCTGACATTATATATTCAGCTGTTTATGGTTTGTCTCCTCGACTGTAAGTTTGATGCCTTGAAGGCAGAGATCTTGCTGTGTTTTGTTTGCCATCAAACCCACAGCACTTACAGTAGGATCTGGCAGACGTGCATTCTCCACAATGGCTGCTGCATGCAGCAGAAGCTGACCCCCTATCGACTGAAGGATGACAGGCTCGGAGCAGAAAGGGATCTGACTTTGGTCCCTAAGCCTGACTGACCATCCATGCGAGAGCCAGCCCCCCAGATGGCCTCCCTGGTAGCCACAGAAGGCTGCCCTTTAGATTTTGACAGGGGCTCCTTGCACCAGCCAGCAGTATGTTTTCACTTATGTGAGTCTTAACTGCTCCATAGTGTAACATGGCTTCCATCCAGTTGAGGTGCCCTGGGGGCTTCTGGCACTGGGGACATTTTTGAAAAAAAATTTAGAGAAAAAAAACAAACTGGCTTCCCTGAGTAGCTCCAGCTGGTAACTCAGATCCTTCTTCAGGGATGCAACTTCGACTTCAGGGTGAGCAAGGAACAGCAGAGGGGGCAAGACTCTGAGGCATCACCTGAAACACACACCCGTCCTGCAAAGTACCTAACTCTGAGCTTCATGTTCAACCAAGACTGACAAAGCATCTGAGCAAGACTGACAAAGCGCATGCTGTGTGTTTGGCGTTTTTCCTTCAGGAGCTTCAGACGCATATATCTGTCTGTCAATCAAGTATCTTCTACTGGAGTGTCCCAGACACCTCAAACCCTAGGTGCCTACGACAGAAGGTGCCCCACTACATCCTTCAACTCCCCCATTTCGTCCATCTCAGAGAATGGTCCCACTGCCCTGGTCAGACAACGCCCAGGAGACCCCCTCGACTCCTCTTTCTCCTCCCCGCCCCCATGGACCAGCAAGTCCTCCGGGCTTTACCTCTACCCTACTCTGGCAGCCAGAGTGGTTTCGTAAAAACCTAAGCCAGGTCATGTGGCACTTCCTGTTTCATGTCCTCTGGCCCCATGGCTGTCCACAGTGCTTACGTTAAACCCTGAGGTCTCTGAGCAGGTCTGGCCCGTGCGTCTCTCTACAGGCTCATCTGCCCCAGCCGCCCCGTGCTTTGCTCACTCACGGCTGTCAGTCAGCCTCCTCTCTGATCCTGGATTACTTCACGTGTGTTCTCACCTTAGGGCCTTTGCACTTGCTGATCCCGCCTCCCTAAATCTCCTCCTGGCCGGCTCCTGTCACCGTGCAGGCCTTGGCTCAAGTGTCGCCACCCCGGGGGGCCCTGTCTGACACCGCAGGCCCCCTCCCTGAGAATGCAGACCCCCCTGCCCCCACCCCATTCCTCTCGCCCATCACTCACTGTCACATCTCGTTTTTCTCACATCCTGTTCCACTATCACAAACTTTCTTTAAAAATTTGTTTGGTTTGTTTACTGCCCGGGCCTGGGGGATTTAGGGTGAATCAGACAGATATGGTCCCTGTTAGTGTCATAGAATGAAACTAACATTCTGTGAAAGAGACAGGGAAAAGTTAAATCTATCCTGGACTTTTCAAGTATAGGGGCCATTAATTTCCATTTTTTGCTAAAGCAAGTTGGGTGTTGCTATTTGCCATCGGCTGAGTCTTTACTATATTAGGTTCCATAAATACTTGCCGAATTCAACTGCCGTGTTTATTTTGTTTTGTTTGACTCATAAATTCTCTCCCTCTCCCTCTCTCCTTCCCTCTCCCTTCTCCCTGTCTCTTCCTCTTCCTCTCCTCCACTTCCCTCCCCCACCCCAAGCCAGGAGTGGTCTGTAAAGGAAGCCGGCACACTGCTTTTTACTAAAGAGATGCACTTGGGCCTTGATGCTAGTGGCGTTCTCCACTACTCCAAAGCTCTTTTTTCCCTTAAAAAGTTTCTACCTCGATCCTCTCTTTGAAACAGATATTGGACAGAGTTCAATTTTTTTCATAGAAGGACTGAAGCTCGAATGGCTTGCCTAGACTGGTCAGAACACAAGACCAATGCTTTCAGCAAGATCCCCTCCCCCACCTCCTGAAACTCTCAGACTGTAGACCAGAAAGGAAAACCTATATCCTTTCCTGATGATGGTTTGGAATTCATAACCTTCATATTTCTATTTCACAGTTTAGTCCCCAGGGATTTCCCAGATTTTTGGGAAAAAACTTCCTACTAGGATAACTAGAATTGTACAGTTTATTCTAGGTTGCCTTTATTTTTCAATCTGTTAAACCAATACTGCAAATATAATTTACAAAGCCAGAAGATCCCCACATTACTTTTCTCATCAGCCACAGAAACACCTTCACCTAGAAGCAAGCTGCGTGCTCTTTCATTAGAGGTAAGCAATGCATTGTATTTCCCTCTTTGCTTTGGCTACCAGGAAGCTCAGAGATCAACTCTGAACTTAACTGCAGTAGTTAGCCTGAGCTGGGCTTTTCTGGTATGATGTCTTACCTTTATTCATTACATTGCTATCTATTCCTTCGCTTTTGCTTTAATAGTTCTGTTTTAAATATATTTCCCACTTGAAATTATTCCCAAATCTTTTTGACATAGGCTGGGTGTAAACAAGTAAATTAAATTTATTTCTGAAGCTCCTCTCCCCCATTTCCTATCTCCCTTGGTACTTGCTTAGGGGCATGGGAGCGGATACTTTAAATAAGCGTAGTCCCTCTGCTTGCTCTGTCTTTGTAAAACATGCTTTCAGGGGAATGTAAATTGTTTTTAAAAGCTTCTTTCCTGGCCCACTGCTAATTATTACTGACCCAGGAGGATCTGTACTAATTTGCCTTAATCGACTTATTAAAGAGCAAATTTCAGGAGGAAGAAACTACGCAGCCTTTATTGGATTAGCAAAACGCCAGTGGACATCACCACTAGAGCAGAGAGGAAGGCCCATTAACTGCCCAGGGAAGCCCAGATAATCTGGCTAAGTGTGTTTTCAATAAGCTGTCGCTGGCCACAGTTTTGTGCCTTCCTGGGGGTTGCTAGCAAAAGGAAAAAGAAAAGGCAGCGTCTTTCCCCCCCAGACCAGATGCAGGTGGTTAAATACAGCGCATACGAAATAAAACAAGCAATTCCAAACCTCCAGGTCATTGAAGAACAGATGCGTGTCTGCAAGGTTGAAGATCATCTCTTCCATCATCAGGCCGATACGCACGGACGTCGTGGTGTCCTGTTAGAAGAGCGGAAGGTCTCATGTGACTGAGCCACTGTCACCTCAGCCCCCATCGCCCTCCTTATGAAAGGCAGTTTTGGTCTTTCCTCATTGGCCCGGCTCGCACATGGCCTAAAATGTGTCTCTGCATGGGGTCAAGGTGATAATGTGCAGCTTTGAGGTTCCACTTCTAGTTTTTCATCGCCTACATTTATTTACCCTCTTCAGTATTTTGATCTCTCCCCAAATGCCCCTGGAATTGCAACTGTGTTTAGTGTTGTAAGGACCAGAGATGGACGTAATAAAGAGAGCCTTTTGGAAATGTGTGTCTTCAAGGGGGCCTGAGAGATTTCGGGGAAAGCAGTATAAACTATGTATGCACACTGGGAGAACTGGAACGCTGATTCTCTTTACAACAATCTCTCAGTGATATTTTATATGTCACTGATCTTTAACAATAGAGGATTAATTGTAAAAACAAATTCACCAACAACACCTGGTATGGTGCATCCATATCAGGGAAAAAGAGGCGGCTATTAAAAAAAGTGAAGGCATGCTAGAGCTACTGATATGAAACTATTATCAAGAAATACAGTAGTAAGTAACAAAAGCAAGCTGCATCGTAGTATAACGGAGGGAGCACAGGTGTGTGACAAAAGGGTCCATTCTCGCTCTCCTTTGCTTTTGTATACACATGGTGTAGGACACTGCACTGCTCTTCATCCATATTTGGGGGCCCTTCCTGAAGAGCTTCTCCCTGTAGGAGGATGATACATACAAGGGATCGACAAACCGTGGCCTATGGGCCAAATCTGGCCTGCTGCCTCTTTTCATATGGCTCACGAGCTAAGGATGATTTTTATATTTTTAACAGTGTATTGCCTATGACTGCTTTGTGCTTTGAGGGCAGAGGTGAGTAGTTGCGACAGAGGCTGTATGTCCCGCAAAATCTAAAATATTTACTATCTGGCCATTCCCAGGCTGCCGGCCCCTGATATAGACCCTTCCTGTTGGACTCAGGTGTGACCATGTGACTTGCTTTGGCCAAAGATATATGAATAGAAGTTATATTTCACTTCTGGTCAGAAGCTTTAAGAGTCAGTGTATGGTTCAACATCTCTCTCTTCCCATTTCAGAAGACTGAGTGTTCCAGATAAAAGCTTTCCTGTCAGCCTGGGTTCCAGAGTAAACATGATGTAGGTTGGAGCTGGACATGTATCATAAATGAAAAATCTACGAGATTTAGGGGATGTTTGTTACTGCAGCACAACCTCACCTATCCCAACTGATACATGTAGAAAATATGTAGCAACAGGGGTCTTAATCCTGGCTATATACTATAATGGTGTGAGGAACATTTAAAAATCCCAAGGCACAGGTGGCACCCTGGACCGGTAAAATCTGAATTGCCGAGGGTGGGGTCCAGGACTCAGAAACGTTTAAAGCTCCCCACAATGTGCAGCCAGGTTTAAGAATCACTGGTCTAAAAAGATGTACAGCACTTGGTAATATTCCTGGTTAATATCTAGGAGGTTTTACTCGGTGCCATTTCATAAGTATTAACATTTAATTCACAAAGCTCTTTTGAGGTGAGCACTATTATTTTTCCATTTTTCAGATGAGAAAACCGAGGCTCATGAAGGTCATAGGTAACTCGCTCGAGGCCACATAGCCAGTGAGCGCTGGGATTTGTACCCAGGAAATCTGGTTCCAGAACAGCGCTGCTTCTGAGGAGGCCTGGGAGTGGCTGGGGCTGAGACAGAAGCAAAGGGGGCCTTGAACTGTCATTCTATACACTTCCTTCCTGTTCGAATTTTTCTTTTTTTTACCGAAAGGCTGTATTACTTCTATTATAAACATAAATAATTAACGACATCAACCCTTCCTGATCCTTGAAAAAAAGGGAAAAAATGTAGCCGGTGAGCTCAGCTTCACACACACAATCATGAAGAGTCAAGCCCAGGAACACTGGCTGTTAGGTGAACCGCCTCATCGGGGCTCTAAGTGCTTAGCACGCCAGGTTCTGGCCGGAAGTCGCAGGGTAGAGCACTCAATGAACAATGAAGAGCAATGAGGAAAACAAACATTTCCGGGCCAAGGTGGGAATCATTGTGTGACCTGGGAAGAGGTTCTGGGAGTTTCCATGCTTTACTCATACCTAAACCATTTCACCTCTGCCTAACTGCATACTCCTTCTTGGCGAGGCTGTCTATACCCTCGTCATCGATCACCAGCCCACAATCTACTGGACCAGAAGCAAGAAGCAGCTGCCATCCAGACTCATCCACTGAAAGGATTTACTTAGAAAAATATCAACTCCCAGGATGGCACATAAAACAGGAAAAGTAATTATTGTGTACAAAATGGCTTATCTGTGAAAAGTATTTGTAAATTTAGAAGAAGGTAAGTACTCTTTATTGATAAAGCTGAAACGATGATTTATGGATCTTAGGAGGATGTACAGAGAAAGCGTGCATGCGTGTGATGGGGCAAGGATAAGAAAAGCGGAATTCTTGACTTCTAGTTTAGGAAGCCAGAGATCATGCCCAAAACAGAAAAAAAAAGATCAAGAAATTTGGAGGTAAGTACCCAAATCAGC